TCTCTTCCTCCACCTCCCCTTTACTATTTTGCCCCTTCCTCCACCTTTCCTTTACTATTTTGCCCCTCAGTAAAATTTTATTTTTAAAATTGTTGTTTTTTAATTTTATTCATTTATAACATATTTCACTGATAACCTACGTAGTTTCTTGTATGAGTAAAATATTTTTCTACAAAGCTTGGTGATCGTGAAAAGAATTATCAAACAATCTTCTTCTTGTTCTCGGTGCAGTACGTGGTGCAGTGCGTTTATGGTGTAGTGTCCTTGTCGTGGTTCCTCTCCAGGTACGTAGTCATAATCCTTCCAATAATCCTAAACCCTAAATCCTTCCCATACTTCCAATAATCCTTTTAATATCCAAGCCTATAATCCTTGCATGAGCCGCAAAACGTAGTAAAATAAAAACGAAACGTAAAAGGAACACTGCCTATGGACGGATGACATCCTTCAACGGATGTCAACATCCGTTTAAGGCAAAACGGATGTCGACATCCGTTTAAGGCAAAACGGATGTCGACATCCGTTTTGCCTTCAACGGATGTTGACATCCGTTGAAGGATGTCATCCGTCCAGAGGCAGTGTTCCTTTTACGTTTCGTTTTTATTTTATTTGTTTATTTTATTTACAGTAATTTATATTTAAATTTATAATTTTAAATGTTATATATGGTTAGTTTTTAAACGTAATAATTTTGTTAAAATATGAATTTGTTAAAATATGAATTTGTTATAGGTGGAGAAGAAGCTTAACGGAAGAGAGAAAGGTAAACGAAAATGAAAGAGAGGAAGAGGTGCAGAGGGAAGTAAATCAGAAGTTTTAAATAAATTAAAATATTAAAATAATAAAAATAAAAAATTTTAACTTTTGAGGATATAATTGTCATTTTAGAAGGATATAATTGGCATTTTAGAAAATTGGGGAGGTGGAGGAAGAGACGTGTGGGGGTGGAGGGAGTAACACCCACTTAATAATTGGGCGAGAAATTGCTCCAAGTTAGCTACACTTTTGCCCGCATTTGCATAATTAGTGAAAAAAACAAAAAACTTTATATTATATTCAATTAACGTTAGATTGTACTTTTATTCCTTATATTATTTTTTTAAGATTCGTTTTGATTTTTAAATCTTTCAAATTTGTTTAGTTCATTATCTTTTAAATTTGGGTTATATTTGTCCATTGAAAAACCATCATTTCGTTTTTGGGATACAATTTTGAATTCAATCATGAACTTTTCTCATGGAACTTACCTAGAAGTTATGAAGTTCAATTGATGTTAGAACAAAAAAGGGTTAAAAACATAGAATTGAAAATAAAACTAATTTATGTGTTGAAAATTTGTTTCTTGATTAGTTTAATAATACATAGAAATTTTACTTCGAATGAGTAAATAAAAATACAAAATGATGTTGATATTGGTAAAGACATGAAAAGAGTGAGACCGTATTCGTAAAATGATAATGGCACAGCCCGTGAACTTGTACCAAATATGAAGTCATTATCAGTTCAATCAACCTCAATAAACGACACAAGAAATTAATTGCTACATATATATATGAACCCGTGACACGTACCATTACAAAGCTCCAAACATAACCATTTTTCATGCTACAAATATAACTTTGCAATGCCTATAAATATACTTAGCAATAAAGTGATATGCCAAAACCCTACCCATATCATATATAGATCAAACACCAACATAGGAGTAACTTCAAATTTCAATGCAACACTATTATCGTTATTATTGTTCCCACAAATCATGAAATTTTTTTGACCTAGAACCACTCATCGTCATGCATGCATATTAGGTGCAAAGTTCACGAGCAACACCGATCCTTGAGTTGGGCACGTCGTAGAGCACACGGTGGTTTTGTTGCTGCATGTTGGCGATCACGTTCAGCACCGAATTCACGTTGTCGGGCGCCGCCGCCATGGCCAAGCACGTGATGCTGCCGGCGGTGCTGTGTATGAGGGTATTGTCCGGCGGGAGTGTCACGTTCATGCCGGAGAACATGAACGTTATGGTTGGCGCAACTATGGGGACCGTGTAGCATGTGTCAAACCCTCCTAGCCTTGTCACGGTGAGTTTCTTCCCGACGCTGACTCGCCGCCGGAACTCGTTCCGGACGGCGGTGTAGGCCGGTTCAACCAGCCGGGTGAACACCGTACCTTGTAGTATTGAATTAGAAAATCAAACGGAAAAACATTAGCGTAAGTTTTATTTGTTTTTGTAGCATTTTATAATAATGAAAATGAGTGACATATGTAATAAAGTTTTACTATAATTTCTCCTTTAGATAAAAAGAGAGTGTGAAATTAGATTAGAAATGTAAAACAAAGACATGTGGAGCATGAATGAAAGTGACCATGTCAAATCACTTTTATGTCATTTTGACTCCAATTTTGTCTTAAAATTGACCATCTTGTCTTCACGTGAACATCATATAATTATGTTTATTCTTAAAAAATGGGAAAGAAAAGGCTTCAATTATTCAGGAGACTCTCTGAGAGAAAATATCCAAAATAAACAAAAGTAATCATATGAACCTTTGATGACACTCTATCATATCACTATGACTTTGGTCAATATAATAGTGTTAGATTAAGACAATAGAACCCCACTGTAATGAATGACAGCTCACAGTACATTTTTCCTATTTAAAAATTGTGGAACAATTAAAATTTAATTCTATATGATAAATTTATTGATTTTATTATAATTATATAAAAAAAAGTAAAACTTATATACTGATTGTGCATACCGGAATCGAAAATGGTGCCGGCACCGGTGGCGGGGTTGAACGCCAAAGCCTCCGGCGGGATATCAACAATTCTCCGGCCAACTCTAACAGCCACCAAGTTCACATAATACAGTGATGACCTTCTAGGGTTTTTGAGAAGAGGGGTGAACTTGATCCTCTTGGGCTGGGCCACAGGCCCAAGTCTCAGTGACCCACTGAAGTTGAGTGTTTTGAAGCTGGGCAAGCAGTAGGAGAATGTGGATCGGTAGAGATTTTGGGTTTGGGCCAATAGTGACAATGGGCCTCGGCCCAGGCCCAATAGCCCCTGTGTTGGAAATGAGCTTCCTGTTGCCTTTTGAACGCATCCAAAGGTGTAGCCTGGAACTGGGTCGGTGGCTAGGGTAACCGTGTCCTGGACAAGACCCGCTGCCACAGAGGAAGTGCCATAGGTGAAGTTGAAAGAACACGCGCTTCCACCGCAAGTGGGGTTTGGTACCTGAAAATTTCACAGACTTAAGAGTTATGTGAAGTGGACCATAGAAGATTGGAAACTCCCACGTTCGCAAGTCTCGTGAACTTTATTTTTGCCTCCCAAGGTAACTTAATTCACCTACTTGTAGGATAAAGCTTTTAATGCAATTGGAATATTCATGACTACGCTATTCCTACGCGCCGTGGACGGCGCGTGAAAAATCCTGTAATAGTAATTTTGATAAAGCTGAGAACATCAATTGTACGTAATATTTTAATGAAAATCAGTTAAATTAATACTGAATCTTTTTGCGTTGATTCTCCATATAAAGTTTGATTAAAATAAAAAAACACTACAAAAAGATATTTATTATTTTTCGTTAATGCAGTGTTTAGTGGTAGCTCACGTGACCTTTTGTCGTTATCGGACCAAGAAAAGATACATTCTTTTCGATCATTCCAAACATTTGATTAATGTCTGTTACAAATAAAAACCTCACTTTTGAACAGGACAAACACTCAAATGTCGTATAGCTGCATCCACCAAAAATATCGTTTTTTTAACTCGAAAAACTAATACATTATGATGGTAAAAATAAACTGATAACAGTCGTAATTGAGCTTGTAATAATATCCTTTAAAAAACTACGAGATCTAAAGAATTCATGATGAGAAAAAGTAGTGTTTGGTATGATGAGAGTTATAAGAAAATGTGTGTGATTTTACAGAATGTAGAGATGAAAAGTGTTTGTGTTGATCTGATCACCTGTTTGCACTGAGGAGCAGAACATGGAAGTTTTTTGAAGGAGGTGGATTTGGCAGGGGCAAAGGGTTTGAGTGTAGAGCAACCAACACAGGAAGTGCAAGGGACCCAAGCAGCATCATTGCTGGTGTCCATGGCCAAGAGAAGGGTCTGAGCTGGGGTACCTATCTTGGCCTTAACAATGTATGTAGGGCTCTGTGTGATTTGTCTGCCCGAGGCAACTGGGACAATTGACCTTCTAGCTACCAAGTTGGAAAGGTACTGCATCCTGGCCTGGTCCTTGGCCTCTAGCTGTAGGACACTCTCTTCCCATGACAGACCCTCTGAGGGCCTGAATGGGGAACAAGGGCTGAACACATGGAACACTTTAAGGGTTGAGCCATGCTCATGGACATCACAGTTAGGGTTCAGCCCTTTGGCTAGGGAGAAGAGGAGGAAGAGCACCAGAGGAGTGAGCATAGGTGAGGTTTTCATGGTTATGGCTAAGGTTGAGACTGCTGTGTGGTTGGTGCCTATGGACTCCGTCTTGTATATATATAGTGAAAAACCTTATGGCAGCTTTTATTTCTAGGAAACTTTTATGTGATTTTGGAGGTGTGTGATGAATTGAGAGAAAGATAAAAATAAAAGCTTTAAAAAGAGACAAAGTTTGGTAAAATGTGATGAAAAATGAAAACAAAAAAGATTTTATTTAGCAAATTACCACACTTTCATATATACCAAGGTTCTTGTTTAAAGAGGCTCTATATATTATGAACAAAAAACAAATGTAAGAAAAATGAAACTCTATTAAAGTGATTAGTCATATATATCTTTTTAATCCATGCACAAAATTAGTTGGCATTTTATCTATATAAAATCTAAATAAGATTCTCATAATTAAGTTTATAAAACCATTTTAATCTATTGATTGGAGTTCCATATTTTAAAATAGACAAATATTAAATATAATAATTAATCTTAATAATATAAAAGTACAAAAATGTAGTGGGGTGACAAATAGAAGTCTGTGGGGGATAACAGACTGTATTCCATTGTTTTGGAGGGTTGTGCTAAACAAATTTGAGTGTGTAAGAAAAGGTTGAACTTGGAGCAACCCTAATATAAATATAAATTCAGTGAATGTATTTTGGGTAAAATATGATTTTATATTGCATGAGGTTGTGCTAAAGAATAAAAAAAAGTACTTTGGGTAAAGGTGATTTTATAATGCATGAGTTTTGCACTAAAGAGAGAAAAGAAAAGGTGAGTTGTGGGCAACTATGAGGTTAAAGCATGAATAGTTGAATGCATGCCTCAAACTGATGAATAATATGCTTTCTAATAGCAGAATCATTTGAGGGCACACATTGGGTATCTCTCTGTCTAGAAATCAAGCAAGTAATGGCAAATAATATTGTTGGAATTTGCAGTTTCAAGAACTCAAAAGAAAAAGACATTGTGTATTGTCATGTTATGGGTTAAAGTGGTGTTGTCTTGTGGAAGAGTTATCATGAAGTGCTCANCACTTAATAATTGGGCGAGAAATTGCTCCAAGTTAGCTACACTTTTGCCCGCATTTGCATAATTAGTGAAAAAAACAAAAAACTTTATATTATATTCAATTAACGTTAGATTGTACTTTTATTCCTTATATTATTTTTTTAAGATTCGTTTTGATTTTTAAATCTTTCAAATTTGTTTAGTTCATTATCTTTTAAATTTGGGTTATATTTGTCCATTGAAAAACCATTATTTCGTTTTTGGGATACAATTTTGAATTCAATCATGAACTTTTCTCATGGAACTTACCTAGAAGTTATGAAGTTCAATTGATGTTAGAACAAAAAAGGGTTAAAAACATAGAATTGAAAATAAAACTAATTTATGTGTTGAAAATTTGTTTCTTGATTAGTTTAATAATACATAGAAATTTTACTTCGAATGAGTAAATAAAAATACAAAATGATGTTGATATTGGTAAAGACATGAAAAGAGTGAGACCGTATTCGTAAAATGATAATGGCACAGCCCGTGAACTTGTACCAAATATGAAGTCATTATCAGTTCAATCAACCTCAATAAACGACACAAGAAATTAATTGCTACATATATATATGAACCCGTGACACGTACCATTACAAAGCTCCAAACATAACCATTTTTCATGCTACAAATATAACTTTGCAATGCCTATAAATATACTTAGCAATAAAGTGATATGCCAAAACCCTACCCATATCATATATAGATCAAACACCAACATAGGAGTAACTTCAAATTTCAATGCAACACTATTATCGTTATTATTGTTCCCACAAATCATGAAATTTTTTTGACCTAGAACCATTCATCGTCATGCATGCATATTAGGTGCAAAGTTCACGAGCAACACCGATCCTTGAGTTGGGCACGTCGTAGAGCACACGGTGGTTTTGTTGCTGCATGTTGGCGATCACGTTCAGCACCGAATTCACGTTGTCGGGCGCCGCCGCCATGGCCAAGCACGTGATGCTGCCGGCGGTGCTGTGTATGAGGGTATTGTCCGGCGGGAGTGTCACGTTCATGCCGGAGAACATGAACGTTATGGTTGGCGCAACTATGGGGACCGTGTAGCATGTGTCAAACCCTCCTAGCCTTGTCACGGTGAGTTTCTTCCCGACGCTGACTCGCCGCCGGAACTCGTTCCGGACGGCGGTGTAGGCCGGTTCAACCAGCCGGGTGAACACCGTACCTTGTAGTATTGAATTAGAAAATCAAACGGAAAAACATTAGCGTAAGTTTTATTTGTTTTTGTAGCATTTTATAATANAAGAGCTGGACGCCCACCTAGGGTAACATCCCTGACCGACCATCATTCCCAACCGACGCACTTCGCTGATTACACGGTTAAATGCTAATGACACATTAAGTCCTTAATGAAGATTAAGGTATTATTGGGCCGTTTCCAGGCCCCCAAAAGGTAAAAGCCCATTACGATCGGTATAAATAAAGGTCTCAGGTATGATTTCTGGACAGATTGCTTAGAACGCAACTCATGCATGCATTATTCAACGCCCTGTCATATTACTGACTTGAGCGTCGGAGTGCCTTTAGCAGGTACCCGGCCCCTCCCCAACTGGGAGGGTGGAGCAGCGCTAAGGAGAGGGAGGACGCCCGCCCAGCTTGGAGCAGAAAGCGAAGGATCATCCGCCAGGAGGGGAGGACGCCCGTCCAGCTTGGTGCAGAGAGCGATCGTCCATCTTGGTGCCGCCCGCCAGTGAAGCTTGCTTCGGTTCGTGGGATTCAGCAATGTTCGCCCGGTCCATGTATCTTCGCCGTCCGCCCGTCCGTCTTCGACAGTAAGTTTGTATGTTTTAACAGGGTCCGTCCGGATTCAGTCGAAACAGTTTCCAATGAATAGTTTTGGAAAGATCAAATTAATATATTGAAATTAAGTATAACTTTAATATATATTTCTACCCAACTCAATAAACATATTAAATAATAAAGTTCAATAAGGTGTTTTTCAATTATAAAGCACCCCAAACTTACATTTATTAGGATAATATTTATATATTTGAGTGATAACTAAATCTCGAATGTTTGACATGTTAGTAAAGTTTGGTATGTTAGTTATTATTTATCGGTAAGTATTATTCTAATATTAACATAAGATCACATCTCATGTTGATCATACAAATACAATTAGTATTAATACTTACTTCATAATTACTTACACTTTCACTTATAGATTTTAACTCTTTCATTGATTTGAGTGTCTCAGTCATTGTAAATGATCTTCTATTGAGAATTTAAGTATGAGTCCAAGTCTTACATTAGATAAAAATGAGAAAATGAAGCAGCATATAAAAGTCAAGACTTATTAATCCATTACCTTATTTTGGATAGAAAATAATGTCAATACTTTTTATATAGTTACATTCAGATCTAATTGATAACATCTTCCTTTGTAAACCATGGATATTGAATCATTATTACCTTACATGTAAATACGTAAATAAAATATATGAAACAATTATATTCTTTTTAATCATCAACAATACTTATGCTTATCTTTATTTTCAAGGAAAAAACTAAAAAAATAGTCAATCTGACGAAAGAGTTGGAAGCCGATTAATATCTATTACACATAATTAAACATTTGATGGATTAGTATAATAAGAAATCATTACTGAAATTAATATAAAGTTCTGAAGCTAGATGAGTGGGTTTAATTTAGTGTAAAAATCTGAGTTACATTTGCTGTGGAAGGTGTGAGAATATATTCTATTTAGTGAGAGTATACGCCATGGAATATTTTAATAAAGTTGCATAACAAAAGGGATAAAGTGATGCCTAGGGTTGTGCACCATTGCTGGCAAAATGAAACCAAATCGAAAACCCTAAGAGCCAAAAATATTATGCCAAAGAACGAGGTTGGTTTCAGAAAGTGAACAAGAATCTCAGTTATATATATCATAGCTTTAGGTTAAATAAAAGTGGTAATACGATTCAAAAGACCACTATTATTTGCAATGTAGGACCCTCCAAAAATTAAGATTTAATCATTCAATACAAATCTGAATTTGTTCTATAGATCTAAGAGCATACTCATGAATGAGACTTTAAATAATTTCTCCAAACTATATAGCTTAATTTTGGAGTTCTTTTTTCAAATCTTCTGCTAATTGTTTAATTTCTAAAAACAATTTATCTTTATCCTTTTCTATTTACTTTTATTGTCATTTTGTATCAAGATTATTAAAGCAAAATGAAAAAATTGTAAAGATTTCGGTTACTTAAGTTTTTCAGTATACTACTCAAATTTTATCCGAGACTGATTATAGGTTTACATTTGGTAGAATAAAATAAAATAAAAATGTATATTTGGATGAATGTTTATAAAAAATAATTTCGAGTTAAATGAATTTTAAAATAATATAACTTGTATTTGAATACTTTTATTTTAAAAAAATAAACTAAAAAAAAGTAGTACAAAATTGTCAATTTAACATTGAGATTACTTAAAGTTATTTTACTCAGCGATAATTTTAGATTTAAAATCAATTCCGCAAATGCTAATTAATATTTCAACATAATGCTAAATGATTCATTGTCTCTCTCGTGATCTTATGGAATTTACTACCTTACACATGTTCCCACTATGAGACACCAACTTAGAGGACAAGATTAAAACATTGGGTGATCTGTTTCTTAATCTGTTTTGTTTGTTTTATAAAACCCATTAATATAATATTTGAAGTGAGATCTTGATCTGAACATTGAATTTTATTTGCAAGAAAAATGAAAATAAAAAACAGCAAAAGGTAATGAAGGAGTATTTTTATAAATGTCTCATTCGAAACTTTTTTATGAATGAAATAAGGGACTATAAGGCACGTTCTCCTTTGGGGAGCCATGGTGCCCTACAATTTTTGCTTTTCAAAATTGGATAATTAATGAAAAGAAAAAAACAATAGGGTAACTATTTCTATTTTAAAATTGGACAACAATATCTAAGTTTTATTTATTCTTTATTTATGAACATTTTTTTTGTTAATTTTTATTATAAAATTAGTTATATCCTTTACGTTTTGGATAATGCCGTCAAAATGGGTTGAAACCCATGAGCCAACCCGGCTCACCACGAGTTTGAGCCGGGTTGGGTTGGAAAAAAATGTAAAAATTTTGATGCAAGCCAATTTTGACCCGGCTCACATGGGTTGAACCCGTGGTGGGTCGGGTTGGCTCACCAACCCACCTATTTTTTTAATTAAATTAATTATTCAAATCCTATTTTTTTATTGAAATCAAATTAATTAAATTAATTATTCAAAACGCACAACATTTACTTAACAATAGAGCCTTTCACATGTCTCTTTTTCCAAAAGTTATCCTCTACAAATAAAACCCTAAGATTATAGATTAAATAATATTATAGATGGAGATAAAGAAGAAAATGCTTCAAGAGAGCATAATAATATGAATTTATCCATTCAGGACTCCAATTTAATAGATGGATAATATTATAGATTGGATAATTCAGGAATATATCATTTGTTTTATCTTGTTTTTAGACCTATCTACAAGCATGACAGTTTTATCTTGTGCTATATATTTTTGTTAATTACTATATGTAGTTTCTTGGCCAAACGGTTGTTTATGTCTCATTAAACTAAATTGGCAAAATTTTATGCTTGATAGCTTAGAATATATATAACAATATATTTCATTTGTTTCATTTTCTTTTATATCAATTGGTCCAATTATTATTGTTTCAATTTGATCGATCAGAGTAACATGTTATAAGAATTTCAGAAAAAGAGGGTGAAAAAAAAGTTAATTAAGTGAGCCAATGAGCCAACCCGTTTAACCCACCAACCCGTGGTGGGTCGAGTCAAGATCGAATTTTTTTGGCTCGCTAATAAATGAGTCGGACTGGGTTGGCTCACTAAGTGGCCAACCCGTGGTGGGTCGAGCCAGATTATCCGTTTTCACAGCTCTAGTTTTGAACATTTGTTTTATTTATCTTTCATGTTATATATTATAAAGATAATTGTTTTATTCTTTTCTAAAAAAAAAACGTATATCTTAATATTGAATAATAGTTTTCATCATTTTTCATTATTATTTTAAATGTTATAAGTAACATTGTTTACACATTTTATTAACAATATTTTTATAGTTATTTAATTATTTGAGAATTGAATATGTTCATATTTATATATGTGATAAGTTAAATTGTGAACCTTATGCAAGATATTGGCCCGTAAAAGTTGAGGACCTGGTTAATAGTTAATTATTTAAGAGTGGAAGTGATATAATTGAGATTAAATATGGATATTTTATTATTCAAGTGTAAAATTACAAATAAAAATTAATTATTCAAATTTCATTTAAAAAAAAATTATCATTTTTTTAGAATCACTTTATCTTTACCTCTTGTGTTTTTTTTTTCTAAAATTTTGAAGAATTTGTTCATCCATTCATAGATCAGAATCCACTTCAAGGATCCTAGGGAAGAATAAAGTAAGTATCTTCTATCAGAATCTGTTAGTTACTCTTTGTCTCTTTTCTTAAGTTAATTTTGAAAAAATTTGCAAGCATGGAAGTTAGAGAGATTGCGTGTGGTCCTTCTATGATAAAAATGAACCTTTTTCTTAGTCCAAGATCATAAGGTATGTTATAATTATTGGGTATGTTAGTATTATTCATAGTCTTATATATACATATTTAACTTTCACGTGAATTAATTAGAGAGTTTAAATTTGATCCAATAAACCTTGACAAGTAAAGAAAATTAGTTAATTTTTTTTTATAGTATTTTAGGGTAGATGATCGGGATATGAAGGTGATGTTATCACAATAATTGATTTTACGCAAGGATTATGTGTTGTTTGAATATATTTCAATGTTTCACCTTGAAATTTGTCCGTAGGTGTATTTCAATTAAGCTAAATTAGTTCAAGTTGTTTTTATTTTGAAATAAAATAGTTCATGTTAAGCATAAGAAATGAAGAAAAAATTGAGTTTGAACCAAAATATAAAAAAGTATTAGGTATTGAGAATCAAAAGAGGTTCCTATAGACTAGCATGTGGTATGAAACAAAATGTGTTTGGTAGGTTATAGGAATAGATTGTGTCACATGAATGAAAAGATATCGTGGTTATATAATTTTATTAATTTTATTAATTTTATTAATTTTATTAATTTTATTAATTTTATTAATTTTATTAATTTTATTAATTTTATTNA